CCCCAAAACCCCAAAACCCCAAAACCCCAAAACCCCAAAACCCCAAGATGCCAAAGATAACGAGGTATAGTAAGGATTTATAATAATTGTAATTAGGTATGAGAATATTAAATATGTATGATTGATTAATGTATTCTCAATTATTAATTCTGAATCCTTAGTGGGTTTTCCCAATATAAGGTGAGTTTGAAACTTGTTAGGTTAATATTAAGTGATATTAATTAATGTTGGAAGGTGTGAAGATTATAATTATATTTAATTATTAATGCAATAATTGAGTAGCATATCTTTAACAAGCGAACTTTAATCAGAAACAGTGTAGAAGGAGTTGAGAGGAGCAACTTACGACCCTCTCAATCAAACTCTAATCGCAGTCATGCACACAGAAAAAACTAACCGAGGTTCCCTGCTCATGCAAGTACAAGACAATATAACCAATGAAGAGCAAAAAACCTCAGCTTAGTCAGAAGAAATGAAATCCAAAGAACATTCGACATCCAAATTAAGGAGTTTAGCATCAGTCAAGAGCGAAATACGAGTGGTAGAAAGCGAAGCCAACCCGATAGGCTTGCCTTCTTATCTGCAACCTTTTTGCTTAACAGATCCAAGAACCAGTGGAAAGCAGGTGTATACCACCGACACGTATCATGAGCCCGACTGTCTCAGATTTTGCCCGTCTAACTCCTCTGATAACTTAGAGATATCCTTGAGCGGTATTATCCCTTTAGTTTTATAATGTTTCTCTAGGTTTCACTGCCCTGGCCAAGGCTTAGAATTAGTATGCACGAACGAATAAAGCCTTCAGCGAAGGAGTACACTACTGGGAAATCATATGTCCTATAAGTTGTTCTACCCTCCGTAAGTACCCTTGGCTTATCATTACCCATTAACCAATTATATCATTCAACCATTCAGCAATCTTCGCTGAATTCCTTCTTCGCTTGTTATTTATTATTATTTAGAAATCGGAGTATCTAATAAGAATTAAAAAGAAGAGATATACTAATCATTTAGAACCACAACCCCTAGAACTATCGGTTTGGAACTAAACCTAGATAAACTTACAATTAACTTCTGGATCAATGGAAGATTCAGTAAAGAAAGAGCCAAGAAGATTTCTGCTAACCATTCTTGGTATCCCACAATAAAGTTTAAGGAAGCTGAGTACTTCGTGATAATCAATCCTTTTGCTCAAGGCAAGAGTGATCAGCTTGATGAACTAAACTCTAACTATCTTCCAAATGTATAATCCTTCACTCACTTATACCACTTATAGACATTGAGGAGTAGTGAAATCTAGCTATTCAATCAGTATATAACTCAAAGATTAAGTGGATTTCTGCTAGTATACAACCTTAATATCCTGATCAAGGAAGACATAGTTGATACTGAAAATGATCTTAAAAAGGCCCTTCATTTAGATCAAGAACAATACAATCAGGAAGTAGTAGAGCTATACTATCAGCAAAGTGAACCTGTTAACTTGGAGTAGGGGTAGTAAAGCTTTCATAAATTTGCTTTACTGAGATTCCACAAGAAATAGGACTCAGTTAAATACTACTAAGCCCACAAGGACCTCAAGATATTATTTGATAAGCAAATTGCTACTTTAGTCCAAATGAAAAATTCTAAAGACAAGTCAGGTGAAATACCAATTGAACTTGGACAGTATGTATATGATCTTTTTCTAACAAAGCTTTTTGAAAGTGATGATGGTCGCTTAACCTTCCTTTTGAATTCAGGTCTTTCCTAAAACTACAGTATTTAATAACTAACTTAGCAAATAAAGTAACTCAGTGAGTATTAGTTAGATACATACAACTATAAATCTAGCCATGAATACCATGAGTCAAAGGTAGAGTACCTTGAGAACTCTGATAAGATACTACTTGTAAACGGATCTTAAATGAAGCTGGTCTCCAGATAAAATGGCTAATTTCTCCTTGAGGAAAACAGCAACTTTGCCCCATTCCCTCAAAAACCTGATGATAAAATTAGACTTAAGTTAAAAAATGAGGAAGTTAAGTATTTACTTCACCATCTTGATTGGACATAGTTTAGGCCTGAAGTATTTGATTCTATAGCTGACTTTATCTAAGCTATTACTTTAAATAGCGATAAGACCCATGTCAAAATATCATATATGACTGCTTTGGTAGTCATTAAGAGCATGATAAATGTAGCCATTAATTAATATGAAAGTCTTGAACACTAACTTGAAGATTTCTAAGATTCTCAAATCTTAAGCAAATCTAAGAGCAAGGGTCCATTAGAAATTAAACCTGCTCATAACAATGAAATGGATGTATGCTTCAAAAACCCACCTCTATCAATCATTGATGTTCATCAATTACTTTCCATTCTTTTAGGACTTGAAGACCAACTCTGGGCTTTGACTTAATCTGATCAAGTTTCATCTTCACTTAAAAATCTTTGGCTTAATTCTCCGTCTGGTTGCTCCAGACTCCATACAGCCTATGGTAGATTATCCTCCCTAATCACATTTCCATCAACTGCAGAATCATAATACGATTAAGCGTACCTCTCTGATCTGGGTCTGTTTAACCAAGAGGACAAGTATGGTAAACTGACCTTTTTCCAAGACTTCAAAGTTGAGCTTGAGAATATTTTTGAAAAGGCTTCTCATAATATTGATAGCTAGCATGATTTAAGAGCTGCTATCGAGCATCAATTTCCCTCAAACTTGATGCTAAAAGGTTTCCCAAGCTATAATGTTCCGCTCTCTGATACATTTAATTGCATGCCACCTGTAACAAATGAAAATAATCTCCCGCTTAGCCACAAAAATCATTAGAATGTTGACTACTTGAAGAAAATATAAGGGTCAAGCATGATCTTGTCAGGAGGTAATGATGGGTCAATGAATATTTGGAATACAAAATTGAGACTATAGCACCTTGGTGGTCATAACTTCAGACAGAAGCTATATACAGAAGATCAGATAGATCCAGTTTCACTTGGATCAATTTCAAGTCAATCGAGTTAACTGTAATAGATCAATCCTCATTCTGAAGAAGATAAGAAAGTTGCCTAAGAAGATGTCAAGATCATTATAAAAAAGATCAAGAATGTTAAAACTGTGCCTTAAAAAGAATAAGCGAAGGAAGACTTTCTAGGTGAAGATATTCTCTTCACGATGTTTAATGAAGCTGAAGATGCTGAGGATATTGGTGAAGAAATTTCATCAGAAGAAGAACAAGAAAACTTAAACATACTAGAATATATCTTGGATTATTAAGAAATTTCTCAGCCCGAAACATCTCAAGGCTAAAAGTAAGAAAAAGTTGTCGAAGAGGAAAAGAAGGAAGAAGCAAAACAGAAAGAGAAAGCAACATAAGAAGTGGTAGAAGAAGAAAAGCAAGTTGAGCCAGCAGAAGAGTTCTTGAATGCCTTGATTTCAATGGGATTCCCAATCGATATATCAAAAGAAGCCTTAATCAAAATCAAGAATGAAAGTCTTTCAGCTGCATTGGATATTATACCCGAGATCCAGTCAGCAAGAGAAAAAAACAAGAAACCAGAGAATTTCAAGGTCAAGATCATAAGCTACCAGTGCAGTGTATGCACCTATATTAATCCAGAGGGCAAAGGCATCTGTGATGTTTGTGGGCAAATCGCTCCATAGCATGCTTATGTCCAGTATAAATCAGAAGAAGATATCAAATAGGAAGAAGAAGAAGCTATCAGACAGGTTCTTTAATAAGAAGAAGCTTTTAAGAAGGAGAAGGAAGAAAGAGAGAGGAAAGAGAGTGAAGAAAAAGCAAAGAAGGAATAAGAAGAAGAAAAGAAAAGGATTAAAGATGAATAAAGGTAGAGAACAAAAGAGTATCATGAGCAAACATTGGTTGTTGACTATGTCTTCTCACAAGTAAATCATGGAAAAGATACAAAGCCACTTATCGCTGGAGTTGTACTTAAGAATAATTTAGACTCAACTCATGAAATATAAATCTAGAGATTCGGTTATCACAATCAATACCTAAAGAACTTTGTTGGTTCCTAAGGAAGATATGCTTGTAAAGTATGTGATATCCCCTATAAAAGCCATGATCTAGCCTTAGATCATCTTTTCAATTTCCATAAGGATTTAATAGAGGCTCTCTACCCAGTATTTATTGGTTCTCAGCTAGTTGATCCAAAGTGGGATATGAGAACAAATAGATTGGCCTTTTAAGCTTTTAAGAATGATTTCCTAGCTAGAATCATTATTCCATTAGCTGAAATGGATTCATTATGCCAGATTGGCGCTAATCTTACATCAGGTCAGAGTATTTACTTAATTGCTGTTGGCAGAAAAAATTAAGATTCAATCACTCAGGTAATTGTTTATAGAATAGACCTCGAGAATGGTGATATTAAGATCTAAGTCTTAAGTGATGATTCCTAAGTATTTAAACAAGTTGGAATCGACTCATCCATAACGAATTTATACTATGATTAAAAGGCTGATAGGTTAGTAGTTGAGACTGCTGATCATTATCTTAGAGTCTATGATATTGATAGGAATGAAAAATCCTTACACCTACTGAAATTCGATACAATGATTTTATCCTAAGAAGAAAGAGTTCTCTCAGTTGATAATGGATTAATATTTATTGATAAAGATGGATAAAAAGTAAAGAGATATCTTATCTCTGATTTACTAATTCAGCAAGCTAAGAAAAGATAAAGAGATTCAAGCAATCACTCATCTAATCAATTGAGTGAGAATCTGACTGAAAATTAGATTCTTGACATGAGAGTAGATCCCAACGATATCACAATAGATGATATAAAGCGATACTAAAGACTTATGAATGGAAAGTCAATCAAAGCTCAATCAAACGCCTAAAGTGTCAGAGGTGATTCTAAGGATTAATCATTATTATACACCTAGCATCATTGGATTATCAATAAAGACAATGAATCAGGTCCATTTGAGATGGAGTTTGAATACCCGACAAGCCTCATCTCATTGAACATTGATCTTGTTTTCAACTGTAATCTTCAACAAAAAATCCTCTCACCTATCAATTCAGAGGATCAAATTTAACAAATACAAAACGAAGGAGATCAATTACAAATCGATACATCTTTGAACAATAAGCTAGTCTAATCAAACAGTCAAGAATATAAAAATATCCAAAATCTAGGGCTCCTTAGTATCCATGGATCAACTTAGGAATAATCAGTTCAAAAGCATCAAGAGATTAGTACTGATACAGATACATCCAGCAATTATCTACCACTGGTAATCAATCATCACAAAGGAGCTTCTTATAATCAACAATATCAAGTATGCAGACTAGTAACAGACAATCAACTAATTTTTGCAAGTAATTACCCTAAACCCGAGTTTTACTTCAAGCATCTGCACGGCCACAAGATGACAATAGAAAAATTCACAATAAGGTCGAGTCTTAACTCAAAGTGTGGAGCGTATCCAGTCGGTTCTGGCTTAATATTCGTCTCTGATTACCTATCGGCATTCGAATTGACTAAGCCATTCCACAAATTCACCCTATAAGATTATAATGAGTGGAAAGAAAAGAGACTCAAAGATCCTACACCAATTAAGCCCTATGAACCAGCTGCTTACTTTGAATTCGAAAATGAGTCAGTAACGAAGGTCGAGATTGACTTCCAAAGACAGTGCAAATATATAATGCTTAAACCTATTGGCTTAAGGAAAAAGCCTACTACTTTCACTCAAAGTGTAAACACTGTTCCAATGGAGCTTGAATTCTTTGGAGTTCAAGGATCATCTTTTGAGGATGTCAACGGCAACTCAGCTCAAGAGTTTGAGCAAGAGACATAACTTAACTAAAATAAAATTCAAAGCTCGTACGGCCTAGAATTCAACATCCTAAATGAAGATTATATCTTAAAAACAATAGACTAGATCGATATTCAAAATGTCCAAGCAGGAGAGATTATACTTAGTCAGTAATTGCTTCAGAATAGTAAATTGAATCCTTATGTGAAGTTGGTTGGAAAAACTCAACTGAAAATAACCGATTCTCATCTCTAGCTATAAGACATTAAAGGATTATCTCTAAAGATAAAGAATAATTCAGTTGACAATGCCTGGGAGCTAAGAGGAATATCTATCTAGGGAATTGTAGCTGAATAGGATCAAGACTAGAAATTCTCAGCAAGAGCTCTCTTTAATCAATCACAAATTCCCCTTTCATATATGAGATCTTGTCTCCTATCACCTAAGTACTTCAATGTTGTGAATAAGACCTTAGCCTAAATTGTATCCTCCTCAGAGCATTAATTACAACTCAGACTAACTATTATCCAGTTTTTGAACAAGATTATGAAACTTGATAGAGAATTCACCAATCTTATTCTGCAAGAAATTGATCTTGAAAGCTTCTTAAAGTTTAACCTTTTCAATGGAGAGAGCAGTGGAGTTCACTTGACTATAGAGTTCCTACAGAATTTCTAGAGAAATGTCAATTTCTGCTAAGAACTATACAGAATTCTTACAAGCTAAGTGGAGTAACTAGATGAAAACTTTATTCCTTATAATGGTAAGTATAATCAATCTAGATTTCAATCTATTATGATGATTAACTATGAAACAGCTCTAGAATTACAATGATTTATCATGATTCGAAACCATAGTATTCTGACTTCAAATCTTCATTACCTTACAATTTGCTTAACTTATAAAATATAGGATATGAGGCATTGATTGGATTAATAATTTGGTCTATACCCATCAATCCAGAGTAGACTACAGCCACATTGATGAAAACACTCTACTAGAAGATATGTCTCCAAAAGATAAGTCAACTACAAACACCTGAGTATATAAATTTCAGATCAAAGCACAGTTCAAATCAATTCCCCTTTGATTAACTCTCCTTCAGAATAACTAAGTCAGGATTGAGTCATCCTAATATAAGGAGAGAATCAATCGACTAATCTCATTAGATTGTGCCATAAGAATCATCCAACAAGATTATTCTTCCAGTGGATTGCATTAAAAAATTCAAATTTGACACCCATCATATATATGATATCACATTCTTAGAAGAGACTATTATGACAGACTTAAAGATATTCTTGGGCCAAGTTGAATAAACTCAGTTCAAGCTTATTATAAAGATTTTGAGTGATGATGGAAGCCTAGTTTTCTTCAATACATTTGATGAGCAAATTTTCGCATAATTCGCAACAATGGCATATCAAAAGAGTGCTAATTAAGGATCTAATCCCTCTGATGATGGACTTCATTTGACTGGACTTGATTTTAGAGGAAAGTCCCTCAAAGTTATCATTCAATTCGGAGTTTCAAACAATTCACTTCCTATTCAGATAAAAGTTAAACCACCTGATTCAATGATTGAAATTTATGGGTCATACTCTGATATGATTCATAGCTAATTAAAGATCAAAGAGATGATTGACAAAAAAGCATAAGAATTCTGGGCTAATGGAGGTAAACTAGTAAAGGTCGGTAAATCTATGCAAGTTATACAAATCACTAAAACTATTGAGGAGTCTTGGATTGTACCTCAAGTGTCTTCAATATCTACATTCAACTTATCTAAGGACTCTTCTGCCATTCAACCATCTTAATCATAAGAATAGAAGTCATAATTGCAAATATCTCATTTAGCAGCATCAAAGAATATTGAACTTGACTTCTTGCAAGAGGAGTTAAAAGGAAAGATAAGAGCAAACGACAATAATGTTAAGGAAATAGTTGACAAGATTCAGTAAATCCTGCATCATCACTCATCATAAATCTCTGATAAGAATGACTAAAAGCTTGTTTAATCACTTGAGTACTATATGGTGATCTCAACTGATTTCACTAAGATCATTAAAAATATCTTCAAATCTAAACTTTTATCTCAGGAAAAGTTAGAGTCAATTATAAGATCTTGTGATAATGAAAGAGATCTCTCAAATATGTGCTTCTAACTATTTAAGAGATACGTTGTCTTTGATTAAGGTCATATCAGATCTGACATGTAAAACTTTATTATGCACTGCCTTTATCCACTTATGACTAATGAGGAAATTAGATCATTTTCATTTAAAGCAATAGAAGAATTCTTGTCATAAGCTCATTCAACATTTTCCTAGAGATCTGTTTTAGAATCACTTACATTCCTTGGTATTCCAGAAGGTGAACTTGTTTCATTCCTTGTTACAAGATTAGGTGTAAATACACACATAGACTCCAAAGCTTAATAAAACTATGTAAAAGACTTAAAACTTCAGCCTTTCGTATTCACATCATCAGTATTGATCCTTGTCTTGAACTAAATTAAGTAAATTAGAGTTCCTCAACCTGGCTAAGCCTATCATAAAAGTGTATCATGCTCTGGATGCAACTCAAAAATTATAATTGGATGGAGATACAAGTGTGGTAATTGCCCACATGACGCAAACTTTGACGAGTAATGCGTGGAAAAGCATCTTTAAGAGTACCCTGACCATGTAATGATCATCATCAAAAACTAGCTGCCTGAGCTTCTTAAGAATATTAACGGCTAGAAGCTAAACAGGCAAAGGATTTAAGAGCCTCTTTTACCCACAATGCAGTTTAAACCATAGTAAGAAGTATTAGTACATGAAAGCTAATCTTGTGAGAACTGTGGATAGAAGCCTATCTAAGGATACCTATACAAGTGTGTAAATTGCGAGGAATATAACCTATGCAGGGCTTGCTATAATAACCCAAAGCTTACTCACTACAATAATCATGTTTTCGCTGAGATGAGAAGAGCCATTATTGAAGTTGAAAAGAATCCGACAAGTCTTATATAGCTACTAGATCTGAGACTTTACCCTTCAACATATAGACCTCAAAATGAGGAATCTCCACTAAAGAAAGAAAAGAATCAAGTTGAGATACTTGATATCCAGGATGATAATGATGACGATGACTTCGAAGATCTTGCACCTCTAAATATCTCTAGATCTTTCTCTCAACCAATGCCGCTTAAGAAAATCTAAAAGCCTCAATAGATTATTCAGTAAAGCACCTAGATTTATGAGAAGCTAGACTATGATCAGTAATTCATCACCCTGTTTAAAGTATGTGTATGGATCTCATAAGATGTGCAAAAAATCTTCTCCAAAGAGGAAAAGATCGTCCTGCTAAAGCTGAATATTGACACAATGCTTCAACTCATTAAACTTGCCCATGTAAAGCATATTTATGAAGTGATAAGCGATAAGAATGCTTTCTTCCAAATACTTGTTAGCATTCTGCACCTAAACTCTAAGGATCTCATAAATCTGTTCAAGAACCTATTTGAATTGATTAGATAGATGACCTCTCAATTAAAGACCATTAATAGCGAGGATCAAGGATAGATAAGTCAAGAAAAAAAGCAAAAGGATCTTGAAGATCAGAAGACTTCTAAGGCTTTACTAGAGATCATGGTCTCGCATTTGCAAAACTTCCTTAAATGGATGATCGATTTGGGACTTCAACCAGACCTTGCCAAGCTTTAGTCTCAATAAAGCCATGAATCCTGGGCTCTATTGTTAAAGAGCTATCAGAACCAAAGAGTTTGGCTTGAGCATCTTACTCTTATTGTTGATATGTTCATCAAGTCATCTGATGAGTCCAAGCAATTTAAGAGGTAAGAGTTGCTAGCAAATGCTAAGAAATTAGGTAATTAGCTCGAAAAGATCCCTGAGGATTCTTAAGAGTATGAAGATGAAGATATGAATGACCTCGTTCCATTATCAGTGGCTAGATCAATCAGTGTTCCACTAAAGAACTAATAAATTCATCAGTAGGCTTAACAATCATAGAATGTCTCACTTCAAATTATCAAGAATCTGGTTCAGCTGTTATACATCAATGACAATCAGACAGGCTAGATTTACCAATAATCACCAATGAAGAGGGATTTAAAGCAGCAAGTTAGCCACTTCAAGGAATCAGAGACTCAGACAAAGTATCTATCACAGATGTGGTCACTAGTGCTCAAATCTTTGACCTCAGTGAGCATCAATCATCTCATTGAAGCTAGAATTTTCGACTCTCTTGTCAACGCTTTCCTCATATCAACTGAAGAAATCAAGCAAATTACATTCCCTCAGATATTATCAATTACTGAGACCATCGCAAAGCAGTCTACCAACAGCAGTGAAATTAGTAAATTCATATGCAATTTGCTGTTCATAACTCTTGAGAATGTGACAGGCAATCATCATGAAAAAGTTGGCTATTCAATTTGCCAGGGATGGCTTGATATCCTCATCTCATCCTCCATTTCCAGACAAGGTACCTATGAATCTACTAATACAGTCTTTGCTAAAATGAGCAATGACGAGATATCAGTATTCTTGAAGAAGTCATCACTCTATTTGAACCAATACTTGAATAAAGGTAGCTTTGAAGGAGCTACTGGTTCAAACACTGAAATTATGATGAGACTTAACATCGCAACAGATTTGATATATGTAGTCAGATTCGCTGAATCAAGGGATTAAGAAGGAAGCTTAGCTATCTAAGAATTATTCAAGAGTATTTCAGATAATCAAAAGATTAAGAAAGATTTCTAAGATAGCTTTAACTATTTGATAACCTGGTTATTCTTAAATGCAAGATAAGCGTAGGATGATGCAATGTTTTCTTAACTAGGAAATGCATCGCTTCTAACCCCAGCAACATCAAAGGTGAAGTAAATAACTCAATACATCGAGGAGATATTCTATCTATTAGGAGATAGCGGAGAGGAGAGTGAACTAGCTGTGAAACTGGCATTACAATCATTAACATCAATTGTCAAACAGCTAAACAAGAACTTGATTGATTTGTCATCAGCTCAATCAATTGGGTATGAGCTTTCAGTGAAGCTGAGTGAAAGATCGAATGAATACTTTGTGATCCTGCTTAATAGTTGGCTAGTGAATGATAGTATTGCAAGCTATTTTGTATTCGATCTAAACGGATTTGAATTCCTCTTAGACACAATTGGAGTTGGTTAAGATGACTAGTAATCAAAGAACCAGAATGCTAGTTTAGAATTTGAACTTATCGACCATGGAGATAATGAATCAAACTAGATTCAGCAAATCAACGGTGTTGATGTTAAATAAAGTTCATTAGTATCTTCTTTGGCTGGGGAAACTAGACTACTCTCACTTTAAGGATCTGATTTGGCAGAGTATCTAGAGTCTAGTCTTTAAGAATTCTCAAAAGATTCTAAAGCTGCCAACACATCACTACAGACTTCTAGCTCAAGCATAGCTGTCTTTGATAAAACCAGTCCTATATATCTTTAAGAATTCACCAAAAGCATTTCAATGGTTGAAAATAACGGAGGGGATCAAGTGGCTTAGTACCAAAAGTCTGATTGGGCCTCAAATAAAAAGGCATACAAACATAGAGTAGTTGTCAAACAATTGACTGGCCATCTCAGAAGTGAATACTGGATTCTGTTCCAACTACCAAATGAAATTGAACTCAGAGAAATATAAATCGCCTTCAATAATTACTGGGGTGCTGAAAATGAAGTTTATGCTGAACCATTATCAGTCCTTGTTGAAGCAGGAATGGACGAGAACAATCTAACTATGGTTTGCAATTTGCAGATTATAAAGGATGATGCCTTTGGAAGTGTGAGTGCTACTGTATTTGGCTAAAATCTTCTCACCTATCAGTAAACAAACTTTGACTTTAATTCCTAAAATATATCAGACCTTATTACCCAAAAACTTTCATCTATTCAGAACTTCAAAATAAAGTACATAAAATTCTGTATGAGAAGACACATTTTAAGTTGCCTTGAAAATAGTCCCTTAGCGTAAAAATTCACTAAGTAGCCAGCATTTGGTATAAATTACATCTCCCTGCTTGGCTATGATTTGACAAAGATTGGTGACTATGTCTCCTATATCAAACAAGAACAAAAGAAGACTGCACTTGAAGTGCTTTCTATTATCTGCTCGGCAGATTTCTCAAACATTCTCAAGGTTATTGCCAATTAGCCTTAGACTATTGAGAAAATGAAGAAATCGTTCACTCTCTTGGCATCATTAGTATCTATCAAGCAGAATTTGATAGAACCAACCTTTATTGCAATCTCAACACACAATAATGAAATGGGCGACTGGATTATCAACCAAATTCTTAAGAGTGGAAGCATCTTCAAGCAGGCTGCTCTTGTTGGGTAGATAGTCATATGCAATAAATTAGAACTACCAAGAAGACTCAAACTGCTATAAGATCATGTAATGTCTCAACTGAGGCAGATAGTTTAAGAATAGAGATCTACTCATGGCACTAAAATCAAGAAGCTTTTGCCATTCATTCAGATATTTATTGAAACTCTGAGAATAGCAGCCCCAGATCTTGAAAGCCATCATTAGAGTCAAAGTATTGACATTTAAATAAAGGAATCTTACCTCATTGATATTTTGAATCTCCTAAGTGCAGCTACTCAAGAAAGAGAAGCCTAAACTAAAACTTTGACTTAGCTACTGACCTTATTACTTTGCCCACCTAAACCATTCATCAATTCAAGTATCGACATCTATGAGTTCGCTATTAAGCATTTGCTTGAAGATGTTGATTCATAGATTCCAGCAGAAGGTTTAGAGCTTTAAATGCAAAAGGAAAATTTAGCTAGTATTTTGAGTGTAACCAAGAGACTAATTGCTAAAGAAATCTTATAGAGAGGAGTGAAACTTGATAAATTGCTCCAAGAAAAGCAAGGTGTATCAGTTGAGGATGAAAGTGCTCAGAATCTGCCACTTTAGCATGCGATTAAATTCTGGATAAATGTTTCATATGATCAGGAAGTTAAGAATAGTCTAGCTTCAGATAAGATACCCCTTAAGATCTATGAGATCATAAGGTAAACTGATCCAGTTCAGAACTAAAAGATAGTTCGAAAGGATTCATTTATTGGTGAATAGGAGTTAAATCTCATGATTGAATTGATAAAGTAACTCACAGCTGGAATTCCAAAGTTAGAGAGTGAGCTAGCTACAGTATTAATGTAGGACCTAGAGCATCTGAGTAAAATCAGAGATATGAACTTTGTTAACAAGGTATTTTTGTAACTACTAAGAATTGAAAAGACTGTTCCAGTGTGTCTCTGGCCCTATGATAGTGATAACAAAAAATGGATACCAGGTTACAAGCCAGTTAATGCTTCAGAGAAGAGTTCTCAGCTTCAACTATCGCATAATAACAATTTCGTCCCAAGTCAATGCCTTAAAGGTGAGAAGAGATCTGCTTTTATCAAGAACTTTAAGGAATATGTGGGATTACAGTCAAAATCAACAGTCAAGAAATTGCTAACTTCAAACTGGACTTTAGTTCACAGTTAAACAGAATAAGGTTAGGTCTCACAGTTCTCTGGATTCTGGAAATCCATCGAGAATAAAGCTCCAGTAGTCATTCTTATTCAAACTACAACTTCCTCAGGCAATGATGTGACATTTGGATGCTTTAGTACAAAGGGTATTCCAGCAATGCCATCCAGTTTGACATAAGATTCAGATTACCCAGTATCAGCCAGCCCAGAGGACTTTGTATTCTGCTACATTGACGACAAGAGTTTCCACCACTTTAGTCCAAAGTAAGGAGTGCCTATAATTTCCATGTTTACAGACTATGAAGGAGGTGGCGCCATCTCAGTAGCTAATGATTTCATGCTAATGTCCTACAGTTATGACTTCGTTTTTACGACTGGAGTTGTTTATGATATCAATAGTATACTTGTAGAAAGCAACCCTAAGCCTGAGAAAGAGCTCTAGGATAATGGGCAAACTAGTCTAGTCAGATTTGAAATCTGGAGTATTGATAACACTGCCGCTGCTAAAGCTTCATCATAACCTGCTGCTTCAGCTGGTGCTTCAAGTACTGTAGCTTTGATTCCTCCAGTAATTTAAACATCTAAAATTGCCTAAAAAGCTGGTGACTCTGGAGATATCGTCATGCAATCAGCTCATACCCATGAAATAAAGCATGCTTGGTTTAATCACCAAAATCCATATTGCAACTTCAGAACCAATCCAATATTTATGGTACCAGAACATCTTTCACTAACTTAACTATCAACGATAATGCTTCAATCTAATGTCAACTTCAAACTTAGATTCCCATCTACCACTAATTCAAATGAATCTCTTGCAGATCTCTACAAACTCATTCAAAGTGATGAGGCACTCTATGAATCTTCAAATGGAATACTAGATCTTGAATATGAAGTCAACTAGCTCCTCAATATTGGAGAAGACTAGAAGGAGGATGAGGTTTTAACAGAAGGAGAACAAGTCTAATTAGTAGTGTCAGGATATGTACCTAAGATGGGCTTGTTTGAAGAATTTGAAAACAAAGGTGGAGTAAAAGCAATCATTTCAGTTACTCTTCAGTCAATGAGACTCTGGAAAACAGAGGTTCAGGCCTAGAGTTGGGAGCTATGGCTAAAGGAGCTAGAGTCATTCTCTGAGATTCCTCTATTCTTCCAGTTATTCCTCAAGAATTCTAAGTGCAAGGACTTGCTATTTAAAGTCTTAGCAGGATAGCCAGATCAAGAGATCAGAGCTGCCACCTCAACTGATAACTCTGTTCAAACTAAATGGGACGAAGAGCAGAAAGCTGCAGTTTAGTTTAATTATAAGATTCTCTCAGAGGCATTCTCCATATCTGATGATCTTAAATTAAGAGATATTGGTGTCAAATGCGGACTTTTGCCCACCATACTTGAAAGACTCGGAGCAGTCAGTGGTGAAAAGCCAAGAGTCTATGAAGAAGTAACAGAGGAGAAAAAAGAAGAAGAATAGAAGCAAGAAATGATTCAACAGCAAGAATCCAGTCAATAGGAAAAGAACATTGACAGAAAGAAGCGTAAAGGTGTTGGTTACTCTAGCAAAGTTGGCTAGACTTTCAATGTAACATAGTACTTAGAGAACAAGAAACTCAGAAATGACTAGATAAAGAACTTAGTAGATATCTGCAGCAATTTCATTAACTGTAAAGAATGGAAAGCAGGTGAAGAGGTCCTAGAGATAATACTTGAAAGTGCCTTGATGCCTCTACTTGAGTCAGCTTTCAGAAATGGTTCATGGCTAGATATGGCAAAAGAGTATGAAGTTTATCACTCCTATTTAGGTAAGTTTATCCAATAAATTAAAGTTTACAGCATTGACAAGAGCAATCGCCACTCAACCGAACTTGGTGAAATGTCTATCTGAAATAGACCAAAATTATAAGCCATCATAAACTGATCCAATATACAGATTACTTGCAAAGTTGAATGACCTAGCTGAGATTTTCATCAACTGCTTGAACTAGCAACAAAAATCAGACCAGTAAGTGTTTTTTATATTGAACAATCTCTTCGTATTCTTTGACTACATTCTCATCCAATCTGTTTATGCTTCCATCTTCTAACGTTGTGAGATCTGATTGTTTGTGTTTCAATGACTTTGTGAGTTATTACAAGCATCATCATTAGGGCCTTGACTGTGTGTTTTTCGATTTATAACCTTATAGTAGCATCAATCCTTTGATACCTGAAAGAGAATACAACTTATAATCAATTTTTTAGAATTCGCAAGGACATATCTATTAAAAATGAAAGCAATACTCTAACTAAGGAATAAGAAGAGAATAAGGAAATGCATATTGAGCCACTGTTAACTCCACCTAATATGAAATTCTATCAAACTCCCATTTTCTAAGGCCTGATTAACCCTAACTTGCAACCTCTGAAGCTAAGTCTAAATAATCATATTCAAAATAAGTTCTAAAATCTTCCCCCGACTCTCAAAAACTTCGTCAATGAATTTTTACAACCAGAAGAAGAGGAAGAAAAAATAGATACAGACACATTGTTGATTGCTAGTTATAAAAACAAACTTGATGATCCTCCAATTTACAACATCCCAATGCCAGAATTTACTTAGTAAAAGATGCTTTAGATTTAGCAGCCTTTAACTTTAGCTAATCCATTCAGCCTCCCAGACCTTAATTTGGATTCAGAGCCTTTTATTCCTAAAAAACAATGGTCTAAGGAAACTGCTCCAATCTTAGATGTTGAAATTGATAAACAATACCTTGAATCTAAAGAGGAAATCAAAGAAACTTAAAGTATAAAAGATATAGATGCTGGAATCCCACTGACTCTCACTCAAATCATCCAAAAATACCAGGATAAAAATAAAGAGAAGCAGAGTAAAGAGCTGTATGATATGAATAAATAGGACAAGTCAAATATCTGGCAAGATTACTTTTTAAAACCTTAGAAAAATACTAATAAAGTTTCAAATAAGTTCAAATAGATGTCTCACACTTATTTAGAGGAAGATCAATATGATAACTTAATCAATGAAGAGGACTACATGATGATGCATAATAATGCTAATGACTTGATACCACTTCCTTAATTCAGTATGGAATAACTAGATTCCAAATACGAAGCCAATCTTAAGGACTTTATAATATAGCCACCATTGATTATATCTTAGTAAGAGATTGACAAGCTCGAGAAAGACTTTATTATTAAGCATTCCTCTAATCAATAAGAGTAAATGGAGGAAGAAAAAGATAAGTAATCGAAATCATCATCAGGTTTCTAGACAATATATGATAGTTGTCAATCCTCAGAAAACTAAGAGAAGATGGTGCATCCTCCCACTAAATATAAAATGAGCTCCAAAATCTAGGGAAATAAGGGTATCAATAATAAATTGTTAAAGATCAAGCATTTAACATATGGCCTTCATAATGCAAAAGCAGCAATCAAATCTGGCAAACTGAAGAAATTAAAGAAGGACAAGACAAAAACCCTCTCTAAAACTCCTGCTTTTAAATCATTCCTTCCATATAAAGATGCTTACCCCAATGATTCATCGTCTGAATCAGAGTAATAAGATGACTATGATGACGAATATGATTCTAGTTCAGATGAGAGTAAGAATGAGAATAAAAGCGGAACTGACTTATCTTCCCATTGCTCGCAACTTTATGATCTAGAACACTCTGGACATTATCCTCACAGTTCAGAGGATGACGAAGATCAACTGATCAAAGCTAAAATTTAACTAAACAAGAAAATAAAGGAGGCAAAATCAAAAGCCAAAGGTTAAAGTCTAGCGAAAAAGTTCTTCCTTAAGTAGCAGGATTCAGACTTTAACTCAAGCAGCTATGGAGAAGAAGATTCAATGAAAAGTGACAGTAACAGCAGTGATGTAACTAAAAATGGCGCCCCTCAAGCATTTAATCATCATGAAGACATGGACTCACCATCCCAATAGCTAGAAAACAATTTCAACTCGAGTGAATACGATGATGAAGATGATGTATCTGATGTGATAGTTTAGTCACAAGCTAATTAAGAGCACTAATAGATTGAACAAATGTAAGGAAAGATGAATTAAAAAATCTCACTTGTTAATTTCTTTTAGATAGCTGCTCTTTTTCAATCCACTTAGGGATAGATCTCACAACAATCAATAGATTTCATCTGAGTTAGGATAATTATCTTTAGTCTTTCTTAGTCTGTCTATCTCTTGTCTATTGTCTATTTTTTAAATTGACAAATGCTTAATGCTTTTGTAGGGATTCCGAAATACCAGAGAACTTGGCCAAGGATGTTATCAAGACTTATAAAATAGTACAGGCTGCAATATCTAAGCATCTCAAATAACACAGTAAGAATATGAATTTATTTAACTTAATCATTAGAGGATGAGAATTATGTCGAGAATGCTCTGAATTTGCCACTTGCATAATCATACAAAACTTTACTTCAAGATTTGAGATTCGATTACATGGATATGAAGGATCCAACTGATACTACTGGTGCAAATTACAAACATCATTATAACACTATCGCTTCACAAAATCAAAATCCTCCTCCATCGAAGATGGTTAGACTTGCTTAAGAACTTGCAGATTTATCTAATGCCCTACCCTATGAAAATACTAATGCTATATTTGTTAGAGTAGATCAGCAAAGAGTTGATCTAATGAAAGCACTAATCTGTGGTGCTTCAAACACACCTTATGCTCATGGATGCTATGAATTCGATATATTCTGTGACAACAACTATCCAAGAGAGCCACCTAAGATGAATCTTATAACTACTGGTACCGGAAGTGTAAGATTCAATCCAAATTTGTATGCTTGTGGAAAAGTTTGTTTAAGTTTGTTGGGAACTTGGAGAGGTTCTGCAACTGAGAACTGGGATGTCAAGCTTTCAACAATTCTTCAGGTACTTCTTTCAACTCAAGCCATCATCATGTCTGAAGAAGTATACTTTAATGAACCTGGCTTCGAAAATGAGGCTGGTACTCCTGAGGGAGAGAAAAAGAATGAGGGTTATCAGAATATAGTAAGGTATTGTAACATCAAGTTTGCTATGATTGAGCAAATTAAGAGACCGTCTAAAGGCTTTGAATCAGCAATCAAGAGGCATTTCTATATTAAGAAGACTGAAATCTTAAAGGAGGTTCATTAATGGGTTTCATAAGCTGAAAAAAATGAAGCCACATATAGTGGTTTGGTTAGTGATCATAATTACACATGGGCAAATCAGTTCAAAGCTACAAAAACCAAATACAGAGAAATGCTTGAAGCTGCTGTTAAGACTTTGGAAGAAGAGTTGAATAAACTTGAAAGACCTACAGACTATGAACTCAAAATTCAGTCAGATATGAGAAAGAGATAGCAGCAAGCAATCAAGAAAAAGAAGAGGCAAGGTATTGCTGAGGGCAGAGAAGACCTTGAAGCAATCGATGTTGAATATGATGAAGATCAAGGTGAGACTCAAATTAACACTCAGCTAGGAAAAGAAATTAATATCGATGACGAAGCGGTCAAAGATAGATGGAGCAGGTACATAGGTGCTATGGGAGTTGAAGCAGTTGCTAAGTAAGCAGCTGCCAATATTTTCCTTTCTGGAGCAGGAGCCTTAGGTATTGAAATTGCTAAGAACTTAGTCTTATCTGGATGTAAATCTTTTACACTCCATGATAACAAGCCAATCTCAATGAGAGATCTTAGTGGCTAATTCTTCATAAATCTTGAGGAAGATATCCTTAATGAAAAGAAAAAGAAGAACTCAAGGGCTGAAGCTTGCATGCCTAGACTTAAGTAACTTAATCAATATGTCAAATGCTAGCTTGCAGCTAGTACTCCAATTCCTTTGAACGAAGAATAATTGGAATAAGCTCCTTGGAATTTCCACATTATGGATGTAGTTATATTGACAGATGCAACTTATGATGAAATTATTTACGTCAATGAGTATTGCAGAAAGAGAGGAAAGAAATTCATTTGTGCTGATGCATTTGGAGTCTTCACTAGAGTTTTCAACGATTTCGGTGATAAGTTTGAAATTCTTGATCAAAATGGAGAAGAACTCTAAGATGTGATGATTAAATCTATCTCAAATGAAGAAGAGGGACTAGTTGAGCTGCTTCAAAATACTAAACATAAGTTCTAAGATGGCGATGAAGTCCTATTTTCAGGCATCTAAGGAATGAAGTTAAAGGAAGGTGAGAAGCATGATGATGAAGCTTTTAAGAGCGATTCAATCAATGAAACCATTCACAAAGTCAAAGTGCTGACACCTTATGCATTTAGAATAGGCAATACTTTGAAATATGAAAAGTATGAGCATAACGGAATAGGAAAGCAATTGAGAACTAAGAAAGTAATTAGCTTTAAGAGTTTCAAAGAGACAATGCTTCAAAAGAGTGATAATTTAGCATTCGATGGTAATATGGCCGTCGCTGATTTTGAAAAGATGCAAAATGGATAATTAGCTCACATAGCCTTTGAAGCACTAGACACTTTCAGAAAACAAGAAAATAAAGTACCAGGTAAGTCAACTATACAATAAAAAGTTATATAAAACAAGATAAAGTTTAAGCGAGTGATATTATTAACTATCCTCGTAAATGATGCATTAGGTACCCTCTTCTTATCAAAAGATGATGATAAATACCTTCCGGAATCAATATATAATCTGATTTTAAACTTTATCAAATGTCCCTTTGCTTTAATTTGGATACTTAACCATTTATAGGTTCTTGGAATTTAATCGATGCAGAGAAATTCGTAAATATTGCCAAAGAAATTTCAGTAAGATATGAACTTAAGCCAGAGGAATGGAAACAAGACTCATTTGAACTTAAATTCTTCTATCTATTTTGTTTCACAAATCAAGGAGTATTCAATCCACTCTGCGCTTTCTAAGGTGGATACATAGCATAAGAATGCATCAAAGCTATTACTCAAAAGTTCACTCCCACACATCAAGCATTCTATTATGATGCCATTGAAGTCTTACCTTCATTTGATCTGACCAAAGATCTTAAAGGAGAAGAAGGAAATGATGAAAACTACTTCAGTGAGAAATATGTCAAAGAAATCATTAAGACATAAGAGATAAATCACAGATCTGATGGCCTTAGAATTATAGTAGGTGCTGAATTGGTTGAAAAGCTAGCTCATACCAGACTATTTATGGTTGGAGCAGGTGCTATTGGCTGTGAACTTCTTAAGAACTACGCAATGCTTGGAGTAGGCACTGGAAAAGCAAATCATGCCAAGAAACTTCAAGCTGGTACTATAATCCTAACTGATCCTGATGTAATTGAAGTCAGTAATCTAAACAGGCAGTTCTTATTCAGAGAGAAACACTTAAGAAATCCAAAGTCATCTACTGCTGCAGCTGCTGCTATTTAAATGAACAGAGAACTCAAAGAAAATATAATTGCTAGACTTGATAAAGTTCATGAAGGAACTAGTCACATATACACTGATCAATTCTTTGAAGATTTGAATGTTGTTACCAATGCTCTAGACAATGTCCACGCTCGTAGATATATAGACACAAGATGTGTTACTGCGAAGACAGCACTCTTAGAAAGTGGTACTCTTGGTCCTAAAGGCCATGTTCAAGTAGTCCTCCCTTATCAAACTGAAAGTTATGGATCTTAAAATGATCCTGAGGACAATAACGAAATCCCTCATTGTACTCTTAAGATGTTCCCAGAAGAAACACTTCATTGTGTTGAATGGGCAAGAGATAAATTTGGCAAAATTTTCACATAAGTGCCATAAAACACTATCAAAATACTAGAAGAAGGCCAAGGATTTTAGCCAGTCTCATAATAAGATACAATGTGCCTTAAAGGAGGTCTCAAATTCCTTGAGAAAAAGCCTAAAACCTTTGATGATTGCATTGAATATGCCAGAATGAAGTTTGAAAAATTCTTCAATCATGATGTCAGATAGTTGCTCCATGTTTATCCTCTGGATGCTAAAACTAAAGATGGAAATCTTTTCTGGTCTCTTCCAAAAAGACCACCTGTTCCTATTGATTTCAACCCTTTGAACCAAGTACATACTCTCTTTGTGGTTAGTTTTGCCTTGCTTAGAGCAAATACATTCAAACTTGAAATCCCATCAAAGACTCCAAGATCCGAGTAATTTAGAAATGAAACAGCCTTAAAAGCAGCTGGTATTAAAGTTCCAGACTTCATTCCAAATGATGAGAAAGCCAAAGAGATTTAGGCTTCAGTTTCTAAGTAAAATAAAGAGGAAGAGAAAAAAGAAAGCGAGGAACAGAAAGTTGAAGAAGAAAAAATGGATGCTAACGATATTGAATCTCTAATGAAAAAATTCAATGATATAATCAAAGATCTACCTACAAAAGAGGGAAAAATTCAAGTAGAAGGCTTGATTGCACCAGAGCTCTTTGAAAAGGATAATGATGCCAATCATCATATTGATTTCATTTTTGCCATGGCTAATTGCAGATCTTTTAACTATAAACTAGATCCAATGGACTGGATCACTGTTAAACTTAAGGCTGGAAGAATTGTACCAGCTCTTTCAACTACTACTTCTGCAGTAGCAGGATTATAAACTCTTGAGCTTGTCAAGCTTCTTAAGAATTGTAAAAAGACTGATCATAGAAATATATTCCTTAATCTTGCGGTTCCAATTATGCAGGCAAGTGAGCCAGGTGATGTGATGAAGACCAAACTGACCACTAATTTGGAGGTGACTCTCTGGGATAGATGGGAAATCAAACTAGGAAAAGATGTAAAGCTCAAGGATATCATAGATCACCTGCAAAAGAAATACTCTGAACTTGAAGTCAGAGATATAATGAGGGGAAGTACTCCACTATACTTCCATGCCATTATGAATGCCCCAGGTAAAGAAGCCGAGAGGCAAAAACTTCTTGATTCTAAGATCTTTGAGATAGTGGGGGCTGATAGTGATGAGAAATATGTAGATATAGCTGTGACTTGCATCAAGGCTGGAGAGGACAAAGATCAAATTTTAAGTGGAGTTCCTCCAGTTAGAGTTTACTTTGAGTGATTTCTGAGTATATCAATTCTGATTGATTAAGATGTTTACCGTTGATGCTGAAGTCATTATAAATATTAATTTCTAAAATTCTAAAATCCCTATAAATTTCTCCATTTGGGGTTTTGGGGTTTTGGGGTTTTGGGGAGATCGGAAGAGCGTCGT